TTGTAACATATAAACTTATGTTGGGTGGGAAAAGTACAAATGAGAAATTAAAACTGTTTTAAACATGTAAATTAAATGATATACACTACAATTTTTGGGTTTTGGTTTTTTTTTCTGTTTTGTTTTTATTTTTGTTTTTTGGTAAAGTAATCTGGATTGCTTATTTTATATGCTGGGATGCTAGTTGTTTTTTCTATTAATACACTTAACTTGCATTCTAGCTTCGCCATTCAGAGACAGGCATCGTGTGGTGGGTTGTGTGACAGTGTCTGTCAATAGTGAAGACAAATAGTGCCAGAGACACTTAACCCATCCAATCTCACCCAGGGTATAGGTCGGTCTCGTTTTCAGACTTCTTCATAAGTCTTTTTTTCTTTCTTTCTTTCTTCCTTCCTTCCTTTCTTTTTTTGTTTCTAAATAGTGAATTGATACTGATTGAAACTAAAGCTTTATGTAAAGTTTTAAACTTTACGTTAATATTTTAAGAAGAAGAAGAAGAAAAGTAGAAAACGAAGGTTGGCATGTAAGGTGTTGACAAAGCAGGTTTGCAGCCACTTTGTGTGTTCTAGATTTTTCAATCCCTTGGCAATATGAATGTTGGCCTCATAAAATTTTTTCTGTCAATATCTTTCTTCTTTGATCTGAAAATATGTTCTTATATCTGGTGACTTTTATCAAACAAAATGCTTAGATTTGAAGTCATTGTTGCCAGTAAGAAAAATGAAATACTTAAAAAAGAATAACTTAGGCTGAACAGTAAGTGTTTTAGACCAGAAATGGTTTCCAGATCACCTGTGTTGTTTTTTATTACTATTTTCTGAACAGTCTTGTTTACTCCTTCTCCGTTCCACTATTGGTTCACTTAGCACACTTGTAAATTTTTATGGCTTGTTTTAAAAAAAAAACTCAACTGATTTTGCACTGATGTTGAAAAGTTATAAAATATAAGTGCATATTTAAATACTAGGGACCACATTTTTTATCTTGGAAGCTTAGTTAAATGTCATTTCTGTTATATTTTTTAAAATCAGTGAAAGGTATTTGCTTCTTTTGAGGACTTTAAAGAATATTTCTAATCTCATAGCTTTCTGTAAAAAGTTTAGTTAGGTCCACAAAGTATCATCTCTTTTTTATGGTTTTTAAAGCACTAAAATGATGTGATAATTTAATTTCTTGTTTAAAAATCTAGAACTAATAGTTCTTAATTTTAAAATGTAATTTAAGCAAACTGTGTAAAATATACATGGGTTTCTCTATGTAGTGTCATTTAAAACTCCATTTCATCTTTCCACACAAATTAATAATACAGTTGACCCTTTAACGATGGAGGGTGGAGTGGGTAGGGGTGCTGTCTCTTAGCACAGTCAAAAATCCATGTATTACCTCACAGTTGGCGTTCTGTATCCTTGGCTCTTCATCCAAAGATTTGAAATCTAAAATGTTCTTGCTATTATTTTATGCATTTATTTTTAATAAATATATTAAGAATTTTCTATATTTTTTAGTAAATTTGTGGATTAATATACAAGTATGTCGGGGCTTCCCAGGTGGCTCAGTGGTAAAGAATCCACCTGCCAATGCAGGAGATATCCCTGGGTTGGGAAGAGCCGCTGGAGGAGGAAATGGCAACCCACTCCAGTACTCTTGCCTGGGAAATCCCATAGACAGAGACCCTGACAGGCTACAGTCCATAGGGTTGCAAAGAGTCATACACGACTGAGCATGCATGCACACAAGTAGGTCACTTGACTTATATCTGAGTTTTAAGAAACAAGGTTCTTAGCACATTTTTGTAGAAATAAGTAAGTTACCTCTAAACTCTTTGAAGTTACTTCCAAACTTTCCCTGTAGCAGATAATGTTGTTATAGTAAGATATAGTCTAAGCATTTTGAGTAGTAAATCTTTAAAAAAAAAACCCTGATATGTGTCTATTATGAACACATCGGTACATTTATTTACCAGTTTAATGTAACTCAGCATACATAGGAAATACTGACCTTCCCATAAATCAATTTAATTAAAAAGTAGAATTTTCACTACATGAAAATCATAGTATGTTACGTGTCTGGGGAGTCTAAGATGAGACAGATGTTGTCCGTGCTTTCTAGGGGCCCATAGTTCTTATCCCTTACTTTACCACCTCACCTGGCATTATTAATGCACTTAGGTGATGTTTTCCTAACCGAAATGTAACATGCTTTTGTGAAGGGTTTTATACACCATATTCATCAGCATCAGAGGAACAATGATACTATTGTAAAGAGTTTTATAGTTCAAAAAATTGTCTTATATTCATTATGTTCTTAAAATAAGTAGAACTTTAGTAATTTAGGATTGAACTGAGGTGACCTTTAAAAAGTAATTTTAAAAAAAAGATGCTTGCTACTGTCTTTTGACAGTTTATGTTTTCAGCTTTAATAGTTTTGTGCTCATAAACTTTTTCATTTAATAAATATATCCAGGAAACTGCAGGTATAATATTCAAAATGTATGTTAGATGTCCATGGAAAATGTAGAGAATAACTTATGTAGGGTATGATATCACAGTTTGGCATACCTGTCCCAGAACAGATATTTATGTACAATTATATCAATTGGGTTTTATAACCATGATTTTTAAATAGGACTTGCAAGATTTAATCATGCATACTTTTAAAGAGCAATTCTAGATTATATCTTGCATATTAAATTCATAAGTATCACATAACTTACTTTTGAGTTCTTGATTACATTTTACCTGACTTTCCGTCTTTCATGGACAGGGATCCCTGAGATGTTCATATTCTGCATTCTCATGTGCATGGTACCTAGATTCAAAGAGTGGTTGGGAGAAAACGTCCTTCTAGAAATACAAGTTCACAGCATTCATGTTGCATGCTTTGTGTGTTCCACCGCAAATACTGCATGCTGCATACTTGTATTTCTCTGAAAATGATGAACATAGGCTCATACACATGTAGTTTCTTTTTTTCCAATAGTTGGAACAGATGGAGGAATGTTGGACATAATACCTTTTTCATCTTTTCTAAAATGAATTCTGTCATATTTTTCAAAAAAATAAGGAAAAACCTTGTTATTTAAACCCAAAGTGGCTACAAATCAGCTCCTAAACTGTCACTGACATTAGTATTTAGAATTTTGTAGTTTTTACAAATCTTTTAAAATATTTATTTACTAAGAAAACATTGCATTAATGCATGATACAAAATTGATAAAATTTTTCTTTAAATTGGAATGCAGTTTAAAGTGACTGAATTTTTCCAATTTCAACTACTGCATTTGACAAGGATACAAACTGGAAAATGGAACTGGTATCATCTAATTGCATTAAGTGCCTTAACTCATGGTAGTTGAGAAAAATCTTTCCACGTGGCATTATGTAGATTACATTATTTATGGCTAATATTAATAACAGTATTCTTCAGCCTTGACAACAGTGAAAAATTGTGGGTGAATTTAGTTCTTTCAATGATTTGAGTGTTTTGGTGCATTTTTTCAATTTAAAAATAGATCTTTGGCACTTGGCTTTTGATTATCTAAACATTGGCTTGCTTACATTTCACTCTTTACATAATTATGTGGATGTTGCAGTTCTAGTAACTGCACATCACAGTTTTAAATTTTATCATGCCACTTTAAAACAGTAGCATACATGCTATAGATAAAAATTAATTTCAATTTAAACATATTTTTAGTTGTCACATGTTGCCTATTTTCATTTTTGTATATGTTTATGATTATAAACTCTCTGTATCTTATACAAGATAAAATTATGTAGGACTGATAACTTCCAACTGTAACATTAGTGTGCTTCCATAGATTACGCTGTTAAAGGGTTTAGTAGTCGTATTTTTCAATGAACTGATCTGTCAGTGGTCACACATTTTGAAAAGATCTACTTTTGACTTTTTCGGTTAGGCATAGGCAAGGGAAGTGATTTTATGAAAAACCTTTTTATAAGAACTATTGATAGATTTGATTCTCTCCAGAGATTTTTTTTTTCTGTTAACTCTTTTTCATTAGACTTCAGTCAATAAAATTTACTGTTTACTCACCTGAAGAAATTCCCTTAATAGTTAAAATCAAATAGACCTTTTAAAGAGAGAGTAAATGGACAGTGGTAACCAAGTGCTGAATGTATCATCAAGTACTTTACAAGAAAAATCCATCCATTAATAAGTCCTTCCTCTGTTTTTCATTCTGCCATAAAGGATGGATTTACTAGAGATCATGGTTTTGAACTGCCACTTCCAACTTCTGGAAACCCTCAGTAGTTAACTTGCTTATCTTCTGTAGCCCACCCTGTACCAAATCAAGCCTTTTTCATTTTTATTCTTCTAGATTTTAAAATAATCATAGTGACGGTACCAGTTCCATTTTGCCTCCAATTCAGTTGATTATATATTTTTTCTATTTATTTCTCATTTTATAATTGATATCTGGAATAATCAGCAGCTCTTTTCTCATTTATTTTCTCATATTTTTATTCCAGGATTTGCCTCTGAAGCAGGGAGTGTCTGCATTAAAAATGACCTGTAGTTCTCTGCTTCATAGGTTAGAAACTTATTTTAATATTTTGTGGCTAAGCACAGTCCCACTTTTCAAATTCTATAATGAATTATTTAATTGGCATTGAATGTGGACCACAAGCATATATTTCATATTGGGGTTTTTTTTTTTTAATGATTAAAATTCAATAGAAATATCCAGCTGAGGCAATAAAAGCTTTATTCTTGCTTTACAGCTTAAAACATTAAATTAGATTTTTAAAAATCTATCAATTATAACAAGTTAAATAATGCTATTTTGGCATTTTTTAAAAATTGTGCTTTTTTAGGCCTTGTATTGCTTGAAGCATTTATATTCTAAAACTTAACCAAATTCCAACTATTCATTATGGGGAAAAACAATCAGTTCACAAATCACTTTTCAATGGGACTGCTAGCCAGCGTAGGTGAAAACATGTATAGTGTATTTACTCTTAAATTGTACACTGCAGATGCTTCTTCAGCTCCCTCCTCTTCCTCCATGGGCGGTGCTTGCAGCTCCTTTACCACCTCTTCCAGCCCTACCATTTATTCTACCTCAGTCACCGACAGCAAGGCTATGCAAGTCGAGAGCTGCTCCTCAGCCTTGGGGGTAAGTAACCGAGGGGTAAGTGAAAAGCAGTTAACCAGTAACACAGTTCAGCAGCATCCATCAACACCGAAGAGGCACACAGTCTTGTACATCTCACCACCACCTGAGGACTTGCTGGATAACAGTCGGATGTCCTGCCAGGATGAGGGGTGTGGATTGGAATCTGAGCAGAGCTGCAGTATGTGGATGGAGGATTCCCCCTCCAACTTCAGTAACATGAGCACCAGTTCCTACAATGATAACACTGAGGTACCTCGTAAATCACGAAAACGAAATCCAAAGCAGAGGCCGGGGGTCAAACGACGAGATTGTGAAGAATCTAATATGGATATATTTGATGCCGACAGTGCCAAAGCACCTCACTATGTGCTTTCTCAGCTTACCACGGACAACAAAGGCAACTCAAAAGCAGGAAATGGGTTGGTATTCACATTTTTTTTAAAGTTCTCTCACCATTATGCAAAACAAAAAAATAAGTCATTCCTTATTTTTCTTAATTGCTCAGCTCAAGTTTGCATCTAAAGCAAAGATACTAATTTTATCATTGATATCACAGAAAATTTTAACTTAAAATGATCAGGTTTCACAAGAGAAGATAATAAAATACCAGCAGATTTTGCCAGTAGGTATCTTAGTTAGGGTATGATTAAGTAGTATAAAATGAAAATAATCTGTTTAAGAAATAACTTAAATTTCAGATGAATTTATACTTTAAAATATTTTTAAAATATTTTTACTCATTGAGATAGATAGTAATGTAATGGCTCTAGCTAAAACAGACTTTTACAGAGGGCTAATTTGTTTTCTCTTTCACATTGTCTCCCCCATATGATTCAGTTTATTTCCATTTTTGTGAAGACCTTATTTTCCTTTTATTTGATGAAAACAGAAAACTAAATTGATAGTTTGAGTCTCGATTTAGACTCATGTATTTATTTTAAGCTTTTTGTTTAATATATTTTGCAAGTTTAGGATTTCTTTAAAAATAAATATAATCCCTTTTTTTTCTGTGATTCTGGGTTATGTATAAAGGATAATAGAACAGAATCATGGTACCTATTTTGAGTTTTCATTCATTTCTGCCAGTTTACAACACATACTAAATATATTTCAGTAGCTATGTTATATAGAACGTTCACTTCTAAAATACAGAATACCATGACTTAACTTTCTAATTCCTTTGATACTTTCATTGTAACATTTAGTTGCTAGACTTCTGATTACATTTTCCTACAGTATATTCAACGTAGTTTGATAAAGTTTAACTTACTGGATCTTGAGAGATTACTTTTTTTGAATGGTCCTTTAGTTGACCAGGATCTCCTACAATTTTAGGTTGTCACAGAATATGATGGAGATGCTTTTGATTGGTTCATTATTTGGTTACATCACTGGTGGATTTTTAGTTAAAAATCTGATTGAGAGTTACAGAGAATACCTTTATTGTTTCTTAAACTTGTCCTTAAATATTTTCTCAGTATATTTTAAAAGTAATGTCTACCGTTTAAGCAAAGATTATTCTATACTACTCTCTTCTCTACTCTCATCTAAAACTCCTTTGGGGTGATGAAGTTAAATAAAAAATGCCCATTATTCCTTTGGGGTGATATAGTTAATCAAAAATGCCTGTTACTCCTTTGGGGTGATGTAGTTAAATAAAAATGCCCATTTAAATATTTTTCATTTTTAGAAAGTCCAAGTTAGGAAATTATCTAAAAGATATTTATATACCCTTTCCAAAAGTATTGCTGTTAGCAGAGTCAACAATTGTAGGACATTTTGTAGAACTGTTACCTGTAGAATAATGATCTGAAACATAGTAGCATAGATATAAAAGGTTCATATGTGTCTGTCATTAAATACAGGTATGTGTTTATTTGGACTTCTGTGGAGAAAGTGTTTTTTTTTTTTTTAAGTTCCATAAGAGAGATTTTCATTTTTATACTGAAATAAATGTTAAAGTTCTGATGAAGAACAAATAAAATTTTGACTTAACAGTTAGTCAACACACATGATTTGCAGTTGCTGTTAAAAAGATATCTTGACATACATCTTTTCTGCTTCTGCTTTTGTATGATAGATATATCTTAGAAATGATTTGAGGTTACCCAGGGAAAGTATAATAACTTTGTCAAGACAAAATCTCTCATGAAATAATTCATGGAACAGAAACTCATCAAGCAGCAGAAGAAATGTCCAGCTTCTTAGGTAATGGAAAAACATTTGACACTAGCCTATGAAAATGATGGAAGAAATTTAAACTTTGAATTTATAAGAACTCTATTGAGGAAAGGATAAAACCATATGTAAATATAAAAAAAATAGGTCTTTGGAAACAATTGTTAAGAGGATCTCAAAAACAAATTCATAGATGTTAGAAAATGAAAGAAATTTTGCCATAAAATTTCAATTTATACAAAGCTACATTATAGAAAATAAACTCTCAAATATTTTGGTACAGCAGTTTTTATTTATCTTCAAGATGGAAATAGCATTTTGTATAATTAAAATGTTAAAGGAAAGAATTGCTAAGAAAACAAAACAATTTTTAAAAAACTACTCAGTTATTTAAGCATTATGTATTTTTCTTAAATTCTTCACCTAAATATCCTGAGAATCAGTAGCCCAGTGTCTCTTCTAGATATTCCTAGAAATTAAGATATGATATATGTTAAACTGTTATAGGCATTTTGTGGTAAAAATTATTTTTGTGACAGGCAACCAGAAGGATGTGTAGCACAAAGGAATTAAAGTGTCATTTTAAGGCTTCTGAATAGAATATGGCAAGATAGTGGATTTTCTTTTTAGTCAGTTTGAAAGTAAAATCCCATACAAATGGCTGCTATTTTATTTTTTCCTTAAGCCATAATGCATTAAAAATTAGTAATTTGAATGAATACTTTTCTAATAAGTAGTTGATGTTCTATTTTACACAGCTTGAGATCTAAATATGTGTGTTTTCCATTTTTACATTTAAACCTAGAGAATAAAGTTAGTTTTAAGGGCTTTTAAAAGTATCATTTCAGAAACTGATTACATGTGTTGTTCTTTAAACCATAATGTGTATACTTCATTAACTTAATAGTTTTCATCCCAAATGAAATGTTTTTTATTGAAATAATCAAGCTTAGTATCTTATTTATTCTCATAAATATTGCTTTGGCTAGCATAAGTGAATACAAAAGCCATATCTTGCCAAATTAATGATGTGCTACAGTTTTCTTATATTTCAGACTAAAGTCTTCCATTTTTCATTGTAAAGTTAATAGATATTAGTTACAAACATTTGAAAAATGCAGAAAAATAGAAGACAAGAAATAATCTACAATCTAGTAAATCGATACAACTAATACTAGAATTTGGTTGTATTTTCTTCTAGTCCCTTTCAGTGCATATTTGGGGATGTTTTTATATGGTTTGAGTGAATATTTTTGCTTTAATTTTTAAATTAAAAAAAAATTTTTGACCACATTGTGCAGCATATGGGATCTTTGTTCCTCAACCAGGGATCAAACCCTCACTCCCTGCATTGGGAGCAGTCTTAACCACTGGACTTCAAGAGGAGTCCCTGCTTCGATTTTTCAAATGATTAAAAAACAGTATCACTATAGAATTTCATATGCAAAAATACTGTATTCACTGCAAAGATTTGAGTTTCTACCCAGAATGATGAAAAAATAGAATTTATTGCCCTTTGTTTTGACTTTGTTGTTGTTGTTGTTGTTTTTGTTTTGACTTTGACTCCATACTTTGGTTCATAGAATTTTTTCTTCCAAGGCCTTTTAAATTTCTTACACAGGTAATCTTTGACTTAATTATGTCAGACTTCATCAACAAGTTTGCCTTCATCAGCAAATACTTTTTCAGCATCTTTTGGGAATTGTGCAAGGTTTAAGGAATATGAAGATAATTGAACAATGTTATTTCCCCCTCAGAACCCTTTTTCTCAAGTCAGTCTGACTTCATTCCTTTGCATCCCTTCTTCCCTCCATTCTTCTGTCCCTTTCCTAGCCATGTGTTCACCCCAGTCCCAAATTCCATTGAGAATGTAGCCTTTCCCTCTTTATTATTGACTACTGAGGCAACAATTTGATTAGAAATGGAGAGGTAGGGACTTCCCTGACAGTCCAGTGGTTAAGACTTCACCTTCCAATGCAGGCGATGCAGATTTGATCCCTGGTCAGGGAACTAAGATCCCACATGCCTCAAGGCCAAAAAAATAAAAACCCAAAATATAAAACAGAACCAATATTGTAGTAAATTCAGTAGAGTTTTAAAATAGTCCAAATATTTAAAAAAAAAAACAAACTTTATTTAAAAAAAAAGAAAGAAAATGGAGAGAGGTAAACATTGGAGCTAGGTTTTCGGCTGCTTAGCCACCTCTGTTTGAACTCATAATATTTCTCCTGGGACCTGTTTGCTTTTGGACAGGATTTTGGCCACAGTCACCTCTTGGATCCTGTATCTTCAATATGAGTGTAAACTTTAGGACTGGGAAAATCATGCCAAAAGCATTATAGGCCCTGACTCTGTTTTTAAATATAGATAAATTTTAAACTAATAGTATTGTTTTCTATTTATTTTTATCACATAGTTACAGTACTTCAGATTAAATGTGTTGACCTGAAGTCCTAACCACCACTTGAAATATTTCTTCAAACATACATTCTGCATAGCAAATGCATGATACATCAGTAAACACTGGAAACCCAACTTAAATAAGTTAAATTGACTATCTCTAAAGCCCAGATTATACATTTTTTATATGCTAAAGGCTTTATTTACTTAATCACAAATGAAAATACTCTGAAATATTAAAATTCTGGGAAAAATTATTTAGAATCAAGCTAATTTCCAAATAAAAATTAACTCACTTTTTTTTTTTAGTATAACTTTCTCAGTTTGATATACTGAGGAAGATATCCAAAAGAATATGCACCTGTACCTTTGGTTTTTTTGTAAGGCCTTTTATGTTTTTTTTGTTTTTCTTTTTGCTACCCCTACTTTTGCACTGCAAGACCTATTAGAAGATAATGATAATCTTGTAACTTTATGTAACATTCACACATATATATAATTTTTAAACTTTATTTTGACTGAAGTACAATGTGAAAGGTTACAGTGACATTAGCTATTCTCTTTCCTGTTATGCTTGGTTTATTGCATTCAGTCTTCCTTCCTCTTGCCACGCATATGCATTCTTTGTCTTCCCTATCCAACTTTATTACAAAATTCAATTTTCAGTTTTTTTAATTGAAGTATTTAGTTGCTTTATAATGTTGTGCCTATCTCTGCTGTGCAGCAAAGTGACTTAGTGTGTGTATATATATGTACACACACACACACATTCTTTTTAATTACAAAGTTTTAAAAGATACTTTGCTTATGGAATGTATCATTCCTTAGGCTGTATTTATTTTGTCAGTAAGGTAATCAGTTGTTTTTAATGTTTTTGCCTGTTCTCTTTCTTCCTTTATCTTGGATGACTTTTGTAGAAAACTCTTTTTGATACTTTTTCCACTTTGTGCTTTGATTTCTCAGAACATTGGAAAACCAAAAAGGAACTGGAGTAAAGAAGAGCCCTATGTTATGTGGACAGTATCCTGTTAAAAGTGAGGGAAAGGAGCTGAAGATAGTTGTACAACCTGAGACCCAGCACAGAGCTCGGTACCTGACTGAGGGTAGCCGTGGCTCAGTAAAGGACAGAACACAGCAAGGCTTTCCTACAGTGAAGGTACTGATTTTATTTAGCAGTAAATGAAGAATTTTATCCACTTTTGTTTATTATTTTGTTTTTAATCAATAAAAGCTGTTTAAAATAAAGCTAATCACTGTATATATTAGAAATTAAGGTAAAAGTCTGACTGAATCATAAGCCAAATATTGTTACTCGGATGTCATTTGAATTTTAGTTTAAATGGAAACAGAATGTGTTCTAACAAGTAAAATATATGACAATCACAAACTATCTTCCCTTTATGTTTGACATTGGTAGCAACTCTTTTACATTCCTTCCAAACCTATATTTTAAAAATGTTTTAAAGTGAATCCAAAGAAATATTGTAGAAATTATCGTGGACTTGAAAATAAGGTTTTTGAGGTGTCGAAAGCAATCAGGTCTACTCAACTCTGAAAAGAGTTGGTTGATAGGTAACTGAAGTCTTCAGTTTAGGAAACAGGATATCAGTTGAGTCTTTAGCATTTCAGAACTTAGACTAAAAAGAAAAAGAGGGAGCAGTTAAATTTCAGCACCTGGCCTACCTTATTATAAAGACTTTTTCTCTTTGAAGACAAACCAAAATAAAAGTGGAGTAGGGGATATTTAACAAGTGTTCCTACCCCTTGCAAAATACTAAACAGGGAGGAATTTTGGCTAGTCACAGGGTAGATTCTTGTAAATACAGCTTGTGTAAATGTTTTAGTTGAACATCATTTCATTGAACTGCCTTTCTTTTTATACATGAAAGAAATAATGGCAGAAACTTGAAATCAAGAAACTTACTGATGACCATTATAAGGTTGGTTAGTAGTTACATGTACAATATCATTTCTACCCCTCTACTGCTCACCACACCAGTCCTCCTTTAGTCCCCCGAACTTAGGACAAGTAACAGGCAAGTGAGACATTTAAGTTATGCTTTGTGTAAATATTTGTTTAACCAGACATTTTGATAGTTTGAATTTTCTAACCTAATTTCTCTGGCTTTAATTAAGTTTTGTCTAAGTACTTGTCTATAGAAGTATTGTTAGATTAATTGCCTGTAATAGGGGATGAATTGCCTGATCTTAAAAGTTTATTTATTCACTCATTCAACAGATATGGTACCCTTCTATGTGCCAGACACTGTTCTGTGGTACTGCTGACTAACAGTTTGGGTAGACTGCTTATTTGCCTGCTTATTTGACTCATTATGATACCATAGATACTAAGATATAGCTATTCTTGAATAAAAAACATTTATGAGTTATTTTTAAGCACTTTGATGTGCATTGTACAAGTTATTGTGTGATTTTCTATGTTCTATATTAGCAGCTTCAGTGTTTAACTATAAACCTAATCAAGAACCCAATTTATTTGTTTGTCAGCATACAAACTGTAATTTAATTTATGAAGGCTTGTTAGAGACCTGTAAATGACCCATAGGTCCTGGTTTGAACCAGCAGTTTTTCAGATCATAATGTTCTGGCCCATGATTTTATGATGTTGCATATATGCATCTAGTCTATGAAAATGAGCCCCATTCCCCTATTATTTATATAGCTGAAGGTCAAATGCTTTCCTACCCAATAACTTTCACAGAATAAAAATTTAGTAGATGTACTCTTACTTGATGATGATGTCACTAATACAGTTTAGTGAATTTTCCGTTAGTGGTGGTGGTAAATCCTGAGTAGCCCACATGCTTTGGCAGTCCATAAATTTATAAATACCTCAAAGGATTGTGTATTCATTCTCCTCTGGTTGTAAAAATTAATTACAGATGATAATTTTTCATTACACATCTAAAATTTTAATTAATGTGATTGTTGCTGAACTAAAACTTAAAGTTTTCTTCAAAAATTTAGCTAATTCTCCTTTATGAAAACATTTTTCCTCTGTTTTTCTGGAGGACTTATTTCTTTATTATAATCCAGTTATAAATATAATAATATAAGACTTGACCTTATAGCCATTTTGACAATATTGATTCTTCCAATCCATGAACATGGTATATTTCTCCATCTGTTTGTGTCCTCTTTGATTTCTTTCATCAGTGTTTTATAGTTTTCTATGTATAGGTCTTTTGTTTCTTTAGGTAGATATACTCCTAAGTATTTTATTCTTTTTGTTGCAATGGTGAATGGTAT